TACCTGGTGCCCGGCACTGAGCTGCCTTGGAGGGAGGTAGAGTTTGGGGGTGGCACAATTGTTATTACAGAATTCAGATCTTGAACTCTGGGCCTGGGCACTGTCCCTCAGCTCTTCAGCTCAAGGTTACTGCTCTACCACTTGAGCCACAGCACCACTTCTGGTTTTCTGAGTGGTTTATTGGAGATAAGAGTCTCACGGACATTTCCTGCCCTGGCTGGCTTTGAACTGCTATCTTCAGATCTTAGCTTCCTGAATAGTTAGGATTACAGTCATGAGCCACTGGTGTCTGGCTGTGCTTTGGGGATTTTGTAACAGCAACACACAATAAACTGAGACATTGAGTGATATATACAAAATATCCAAACGCTACTTTTTTTTTTGTCAGTTGTGGGACTTGAACTTGGGGTCCCAGCATTGTCCCTGAGTTCTTTTGCTCAAGGCTACTGCTCTACCACTTTGAGCCACAGTACCACTTCTGGTTTTCTGGTGATTAACTGGAGATAAGATTCTCATGGACTTGCCTGCCTGGGCTGGCTTTGAACCAATGTCTTAGCCTCCTAGGTAGCTAGGATTACAGGCATGAGCCACCAGCACCTGGTGCCATTATTACCATTTTTAAGATGTAATCAAGATCAGATTATGAATGAGACAGTTTTGCATTCTCTTTTTGCTTTGTTTGAGATCTGATGTGTAGTTTACAGTTGTCATCTTGGACTTACCACATTTCCCATGAACAGCAGCCAGATTTTATATTCCTTTGACTCTCTTTATGTGACTTTACATGGATGGACCCAGAATAGATGATCTCACTATGTAAAAAGGCCCATCCTCTGTTCTCTTGGTTTACTTGACTTTCAAAATACACAACCTGCTAATTTTCCCTTCTAAAATAGTAGGTCTGGGCTCCTCAGGTTGGTGTGTTGTTTGAGAAGCCCCTAGGTTTCCAGAGAATTTATTCCATCCTATTGACCTTTTTTTAGATGTATCACTTGTGCAAAAATCTGTCAGGAATGGTAGAAGAATTATAACAGCCGTGACTGAGTTTGGCCTTTGACTCAATGGAGAGAAACTAATTACGTGGAGAGAAAGCAATTATGGGCTAAGCGACAGGCGCTTGATATTAATCCCCACCCAGCCACAGGTGCTTAGACAGAATGTGCACTGTAACACAGCACGGGGCTGGGCTGGGCTGAGAAGAAATAGTGCCCAGCGGTCAATAGAAAGGGGTGGGTGGGGTCAAAGGGAAAGGGGTGGACAAATGAAGAAGACAGAGCAGGGACAATGCCATCAAGAATCCAATGTATATCCTACAAAATTAAGAAGAGTGAGGGAAGCGGTGGGCAAGGGAGGGATGGGAGAGGATGTGGAAAGGGGGAGACATTGATCAAGATATATGGTATTCATAAACGGCTTTGTTAAATGGCAACTTATGTGTACAATGACTTAAAGATAATGATTTTTTGGGGAAAAAAAGGATTATTGTCCTGAAGAACCAGGTGACAATGCCAACCGCAGCATAAGGGCAGTGTGCGTCAGTCCCAGCTCTCTTAACGGGTATTTAATGACTTGAAAGATTTTTGGATGAGCTAGATGAATGCCCTTTGGTTTGGGGAACAGGAGGTTAGAAGTCTTCTCTATGGAGATGACATGGTTTTATTGTCATGAGTTGGGAATGGCCTCATTACTGGGATTTTTATTTTTAATGGTCCAGGATGAACAGCTTGTCATTTTTGGCAAGCGTCCTTTAACATGGAGTTGGCTTTTATTCAACCTGGAATTGCACTACTCATTTAGTCACTTAGGTCTACATTTTCCTACCAAGACATCTGGAGATTCACTGGAAATGTATTTACTTAGCTTTCAGATTCTTTTTCTTCTCCTCTTTAAACAAAATTATCTTTAAGTAGTTGTACAAAGGAGCTGCTGGGGCTGGGAAGGTGGCTCAGTGGTAGAGCGCTTGCCTTGCATGCATGAGGCCCTGGGTTCGATTCCTTAGCACCACATAAACAAAAAGAAAAAAGCAGGAAGTGGCGCTGTGGCTCAAGAGGTAGAGCGCTAGCCTTGAGCTGAAGAGCTGAGGGACAGCGCCCAGGCCCAGAGTTCAGGCCCCACGACGGGACCCAAAAACAAAAACAAAAAAACTCCAAAAAAAAACCAAAGGAGCTGCTATTTAACAAAACAATTTATGAATATAATATATCATAATCTGTGTCACCTTTCAACATTTTCACCCATCCCTCTTAATTTGCTAGGATATACATTGGAGTCTTTCTTTCTTTTTTTGGTGGTTGTGAGGCCTGAACTCTGGGCCTGGGCGCTGTCCCTCAGCTCTTCAGCTCAAGGCTAGTGCCCTACCACTTGAGCCACAGCACTACTTCTGGCTTTTCCTGCTTATGTGGTGCTGAGGAATCGAACCCAGGGCCTCATACATGCAAGGCAAGTGCTCTACCACTGAGCCACCTTCCCAGCCCCACACTGGATTCTTGCCTGCATTCTTCCCCCTTTTTTCTTCATTTGTCTACTCCTTTCCCCTTGACCCCACCCCACTCCTTTCTAGTACCTGCTTCCTGGTGTCCCTTTTTCTGAATTTTGACTTTCCTGTTCTACGGAATTACACTATTTGAGTTTTCCCTATTGCATGTACCCTATTTCAGTTAATCCATTTGTGTGCACTTGCCTACTAACCAATGTATTACTTATATAAGTTTATAAGCTAAAATCCAGAACTTTAGGTATCTCACGGGTGAGGTGTTAGTTTTTTAAATCTTTCTTGGGAGACAAGTTACCTGTACTTCCAAAAGCACTTAAGCTAAAACATGTTAAGGCTTAGAACTTGATGAATGATCCCATGGTTTCCCGGTGTAAACTCGGGTCCTTAGTAATTTTCTCAAGGCAAACAGATTTCCAGAGATATTCCCACAGGGTATTTCACCAGGGATTCCACATCCCACATGTATTCCTACAGACATCATTATGGACATCCTCATACATATTCCACACGTGTTCACACATGTATTCCAACAGACATGCCCACAGACATTCCTCCCCTTGATTCCCAGACATTCCTACAAGCGAGCAATGTGTACATTCCACAGATATTTCTCCTCACATTCCCACAGACCGTCCCCAACTTAGTCCCACAGGTATTACTTTCTCATAGCCATTCCCACAGGTAGACATCCCTATGGGCATTGTCAAGGACATGTCTCCATTTTTCTTATGGCTGTTCCCCAAGGTATTTCATAGACAGTCCCACAGAGTCCTCCTCAGGCATTGGCACAGATTTCTCATAAATACCCTTGTAGGAATCCCCACAAGTAATCTCATCCATATCCTCACCGATATCCCCAAAGACATGCTCACGGGTATTATTACACAGTTATTTCTAAAGGCGTTCTTGAAGACATGCACACAGGAATTCCCACAGGTACTTCTGGCTTCTCTTTGACTGGGGTTGGGGGCTTGGTTGATTGTCAGGGCCCTGGGAGCCTCCCTCAGCTGGTGTGGTGGAATGTCTGTGCCACAGGCCAGTTCTTACTGCAGCAAGGACTTCAAAGGACTCTCTGAACACATCACATCCTTAAAGAGATAGAGAGAAAGGGCATTCCCCAAAGTGCCTTCGTAGGAAGGGCTTGGGTCGTCCTAAGGCTCTGGCGATGCTTCTTTTGGTGACAACTCACAGTTAAATTCTCCTCAGACCACCGAGTAGGAAAAGCCATGTTCTGTCAGCTAGCCATGTTCTGTCGTTCATGTTGTACCGAGCACTTGTAAGTGGCTGTGTGTCTCTCTTCCTCCTCCTGTGGCTAGCAGGAAATGAAGCATAAAAAAAATCTGGTTTCTCTCATCTTAGAATGTGCTGGACTTTTGTCTTACTGCCGCTGCCTTTTCTTTTCCACATCATGATGTCTTTGTAGAGTCCTTGCTTAAAAAAAAAAAAAGTGCTGAGTTGTATGTGTTTATATCGACATCTTCACCATTTTCCAGGATGAGCGGAGCTACAAATACATACTACATATGAAATTCAAGCATTCATGTATCACCCAGAACAGCTCATGAGGGTGGGGACAGGAGCAGGTCTCCCTTGGGCCTCCAGTGGCTTCCTGTTGGACCCTGGACTAGGCACCAGGGTTTCATAATAACAGCTTGGCTGTTGGGGAAGCAATAAGCTCCTGCTTGGACCCATGTGAGACACAGAGCTTTCCATGTGCATCATTCCAAACTGCAGTGGTGGAACCTGGGAACCCGTGCTAAGACAAAATGGTGATGCACACGTGTGCACGCGTGTGTGTGTGTGAGTATTCTGTTCACTGACAAGGCAACAGTGAGCCCCCAAACCAGCCAGCAGTAAAGGAGGGTCCAGGTGGAAGGGATGGACCCACTGCAGCCCAAGAAAAGCCCACAAAAGGGGTCTGGAGCTGGTGGCTCACGCCTGTAACCCTAGCTACTCAGGAGGCTGAGATCTGAGAATCACGGCTCCAAGCTAGCGTGGGCAGGAAAGTCTACAAGACTTTTATCCTCAAGTAACCACCAGAAAACCAGAAGTGGTGCTATGGCCCAAAGCAGTACAGTGCTAGCCTTGAGCATAGCATCTAGGCCCCAAGTTCAAGCCCCATGGCTGACATTAAAAAAAATAATAATAAAAAGGAAGCCTTCAAAAGGGTCAGTGTGGGAAATGCTTCTTCCCCATCCTTGGGGTCAGGCCCTGGGTCATGGGACAACTGGAGTACGTGGACTTTGATTGTGGTGGCTCCGTGGTGGGGAGAGACCATGCCCTGGGTGTGTGTGGTGTGTGTGTGTGTGTGTGTGTGTGTGTGTGAGATCAATTGCACAGGAATACAGGTATGTGTCGCCATCTAGAATGAATCACTGTGCAATGAGGCTGCTCAAATCCTCTGCCTATCTATGGTGAGTTGAGCACCCTCAGGGTTCCAGAAAGCAGTACTCCAAGGACGGCAGTGTATGCTCTCAGACCAGGGAGGTAAGGGGCAGGTGCTCACCTGAGCAGGCGCAGGAGTGCAGGCCACATGCCTGGGTAGATGCCAAGGCTTGGATCCCCTGCCCAACTTGGTTGTTGGACTTGCCCAGATGTGTAGATCCCTGTGTCTTGGTTTTCACCCCTGTAGGAAAGGTGCTGGAGAGGGCAGGGGTGAGTAGCAGGAGGTTGGACCTTCCTGAGTCTCCATCCCTTGGTGTGTGAGCTGGGCTGAGCATGGCTGCTGCCCGGGTATGTCTCGTGGAGGCTGAACCCAGGCAGAGCTGGAGGATGGTAAGGTCAGCACACGTGAGGGGCTAGGGGCCGGGCAGGGGAGGGGAAGCTGTGCTTGCTGGCCCGTCAGTGTCCAGCTGTCACCGCCACTGACTCCAGACTCCCTTTTGCAGCCGTCTCCCTGGTGACAGTTGCTATGGTTGTCTCCGAAGTTCAGCAGCTGCCTCCCATGGTGCAGGGCCCCACGCGCTGCTGTCTGGAGTCCTTTTAACCCACGATTTATTAGGTTTGTTGTCCGTGATGACTTCTCCAATGAGCCCGTAAATTAGGAATATTATAAAGCATCCCCGGGGTCTTAGACAGATAACTTGTGCCACAGGGTCCATTTATGGACCAATTACGATCAATTGACATTTCCCTCAGCATCACCATCCATTGAGATGCAAATGGCTCTGGGGGTGAAGGGAGATGTCTGCCCCCCTGTGCAGTGGTTAGGGTAACCTGAGCATAGCTTCTTCTGTGCCCACAGGTTCCCCATTCCCAAGTCTAGGACTTAAAGCCATGTCATGCTGGTAAGGGCCCCTTCTGCCTTCCAGAGCTTTCCCTGAGGGGATGTTGTGTTCACTCCCTCCTCAGTCATGTATTCATTCACTTATTCACTTGTTCACTGATGCATGCACTCATTCACTTACTAATTTGCTTACTCACTTTTCACTCATTTATTCATTCACTCAGTCACTCATTTGCTCATTCACTCACTCATCATCTGGTCACTCATTTATCCATTCACTCATATGGTCCCTTGTTTACTCATTTCCTTATATCCTCACTCATTCTCTCAAGTCAATTACTCATTTACTCTCCTATTCATTCATCCACTCATTTACTCATTTGTTCACTCATTTACTTATTTGTTTATTCATTTACTCATTCATCCACTCATTCATTTTTTTTCTTCTTGTAGAGCGTCCCTCCTTCCTTGGATGAATGTTTAATGAGTAGCCTCGCCTCTTTGGGAAAGTCTATAATGGTATAAGTAGTAGAGAAGATGATGATTGAAAAAAAATTCCTATAAAACCTTGTCTGTTTCTGAGTAGTCAGGTCTGCCAGAAATGTCCGTTGTACAGAATAAGAAACCAGGGCATGCTTGCAGTAGAAAAACTTGCCTAAAATCAGAGAGGAGAGGAGCAGGGAACTTTGGGAAAGTTCTGTTTTACTGTGTGCTTCTGTCACTGCTATTGTAAAATGGGGTACGACAGAACCTGGGTCTCAGGGAGGACCCAGAGCAGCTTTGCAGCGTTTCTCTGGGAGGATTCTTTAAAAAGAAGAGAATACAATTCTAGCACTTTCATAGTATAGAATGTGCCAGAGCCCAAGGACTCTGGGGCCATCTCCCCCAGTGCCAACAGCGGACATTCAGAGGGGAGATGACCTGCCCGGCAAGTGTGCAGCCCAAGGCATGGCCTGTCTAGGCAGGACAGTCCCAGCTCTTAGTCCAACCCTGGCTGGCTGTGTGAGTCTTGTCTGGTGACGATGCAGACTCAGTGTTCTCATCCCTTTAGAGGGACCAGTGGCTTCTAGGTCATAGCCTCTTTATAGTGCTAGGTTTCAGCACTGACCTGGGCACCAAGTTTGGGCCCTGATTGGTCCACACCAAACCTCATGCTGGGCTCTGATTGGTCCACACCAAATCCCATGCTGGGCTCCAGTTGGTCCACACCCAACCCCATGCTTGATCCCTGACTCCCTCTCCTCACACTGTACACCCACCACTGGCAAATGCTCAGACCTATGCCTGGTCTCCAGTCCCCTGATACAGGGCCTTAGCGCTGCTGGAGTGAGTGACTTCTGTCCCACCTGGCCATTATCTGTGAGTCCCCTGCTTCCCTCCCTCCCATTTCAGTCCACCAAGGCTGGCTATTCTGCGAAAGGGCCTATCCCGCCTGCCATGAATCCAAGTAAGGGACAGTGGCCCACAGACTTGGACCCTGACTCAGTTCCCGCTGCACATGCCCGCTGGCTGGCTGTTTCTTGGAACATGTGAGACACACAGGAGCCTTTGCATTTGACATTCCTTCTGCCCAGAATGCTTTTCCCTGCACCATCTCAGGCTCATTCCTTCCACTCTTCTCAAGTACCACATTTTCAAGCAGGCCCACCAGCCCTGTCACCTTTGTCACTGTCACCCGGGGCCTCCCTCTTTCTTTTCCTGAAGCCCCTATCCTCACTCAGTTAGCAAGCTGTGGGCTAAAGCTGGTCTGAGCCCTTCCTCCCCACCCTCCCCACCCCCAATTGTTTTATAAGTCCGGAGGGCTGGAATGTTTGGGAGGTTTAGTTTGCCCTTGCATTTCAAACACAGAGCCTGGTGCCACACACACATAGCAATCCCAACTAATATTCATTCATCCAAATGAAGGAAGTTGAAGACACTGCTTTGAGTTTTGCTCCCCGCCCCCCATAGTGTTTGCACTACCTTTCCAGTCGTAATACCTACAAATTTGTGTCACAAGCCACGAATTGTCTGCGTGAATGTCAGATCCATCTGTCCAAATGTGTCTTCCCACCTGTGGAACTAGGCTGACCTGTCTCGGAAGCAGACAACACTGTGATGAAAGGAGATTCATTGTGTCCCATATTTAACACTATTTTGGTACAATTAGAACTCTCTACTAATTGGCTTTTGTTGTTGTTGTTGTTATTGTTGTTTTTTGGGTCCAGTCGTGGGGCCTGAACTCTGGGCCTGGTCGCTGTCCCTCAGCTCTTTAGCTCAAAGCTAGTGCGCTACCACTTGAGCCACAGCACCACTTCCGGCTTTTTTCTTACGTGGTGCTGAGGAATCGAACTCAAGGCCTCATGCATGTAAGGCAAGCGCTCTACCACTGAGCCACCTTCTCAGCCCTGTTGTTGTTTTTGAGAGAACAAAGAATGAACCACATGTTTCCTTTTGGGGGGAATTTTTCTGACATGATGGCATAAAGCTTTGTTAAGACCAGGGTCACGTCTGATTGGTTTTCACAGCTCAGTTAGAAAGAGGGTCTTTTTTTTTTTTTTCTAAAAATGCTTGAGGGCTTCATAAATTTTCCTGAGGGCCTCTATTAGAACTTTGATATTTAAATTATTCTCTGTGGAGGTACTTACTCATTATCCTCATTGATTTTTCTCTTTGTTAATTGTTAAGGGTGGAATCCTTCTGCATAGCAACTAATAAGTAGCTGTTTTTGTTTGTTTTTTTGTCAGTCATGGGGCTTGAACTCAGGGCCTGGGCGCTGTCTCTGATCTCTTTTTGCTAAAGGCTAGTGCTCTAACACTTTGAGCCACAGCTCCACTTTCGTGTTTTATTTTTATTTTTATGTTTTTAGGTGGTTAATTGGAGATAAGAGTCTCATGAGGGGCTGGGAAGGTGGCTCAGTGGTAGAGCGCTTGCCTTGCATGCATGAGGCCCTGGGTTCAATTCCTCAGCACCACATAAGCAAAAAGAAAAAAGCTGGAAGTGGCACTGTGGCTCAAGTGGTAGAGTGCTAACCTTGAGCTGAAGAGCTGAGGGACAGCGCCCAGGCCCAGAGTTTAGGCCCCACGACCGGACCCAAAAAAAAAAAAAAGTCTCATGAGAACTTTTCTGCCCAGGCTGTCTTTGAACCACAATCCTGAGATCTCAGACCCCTGAGCAGCTAGGATTACAGGCGTGAGCCACTAGTGCCTGGAAGATTTTTCTTTTTTCTTTTTTAGAACTTACCATGTGCCAGACTCTGCCTAGACACTCATGGATTTAGCTTTACTACAACTGGGAGGTTATATTATGATGTGTATGGTATAGGGAAACTGAGGTAGAGAGAAATCAAGTAACTTGTTTGTGACTGTGCATCTGGTCAGCAGTGTGCTACAGCCAGCTTTCTGTGCCAAAGTCTCTGTGTGTGATTTGAGCCACACTTTAAATTGCTTTGCTCTGTCTCAGAAATCCTGCATTCTCGGTGAGGTGTGTGTTCCCAAGGGAAATGAATCTGCATTTCAGGTGCTTGGTATTCTGGGATGTGAATGTCCCAGATGGATGGATTCATGACTGACACAATAACCTCAGGCTGTGGAGAGACGGGTGTTAGATAATGTGGAGGAGTTGTTATGTGTGGACAGGGAAGAAATCGCACAAGAACTCCTGTAGGGAGAAGTAAGTTCGTGGTGATGTGAGTGAAGAGCTTGGATTCACTTTCTCCCGTGCTGGGAATTCAGCCATGACAGCGGGATGTGGCAGGCCTGGCTCGGGTGGATGGGAAAGAGAGGGAGGGAGGCATCAAGTTAGCCTTGTCTGCCCGTCAGCCCTGAGTGGGCTTCTTGTGTGATGTAAGCAGTCTCAAGGACAGACCAAGATAATGTGGTACCCATGTTCCCGGCATGGGGCGGGGGAGTTATGCGGCCTGGGGCACCTAGAGACGGATTGGAGTTGGTACATGTGGGTTTCTCAAACAAGGCTTCTTGAATTTAAATTTTTATAAGTGTATCACCTCTGTCATGTTCCACTCCCTCCCTCCTTCCTCACTGCCTTTTTTCAGTCATCCTTCGGTGATTTCATGCTGCTTTATTCATGTATATGAAGGTAACATCCTTCCATCCTGTTCACCCCTCCGAAGCCCTTCCCTTCCCTTCCCCCACCACTGTTCCCCTCACATTTATGCATCGTTATCATCATCATCTCCTCCATTTTCAGTCTACACTTCACAAATGAGCAAAAAGATTCGATATTTGGCTTTTTTGAATCTGGCCTAATTCCATCTCCATTTCTCTTATTTCAGCAAATGACCTAATTTCAATTTTTATGACTGAGTAGTATCAGTATCTCATGATTCCAGTGTGTGTGTGTGTGTGTGTGTGTGTGTGTGCACGCACACATGTGCACATCTAAATTCTTTTTCTATTCATTTGTGTTAAGGCACCTTAGTTGATTCCATGGCTTTGGATAGTGATCAGAGCTGAACATAAGGATGCAGGTGTCTCTCTTGTATATTGATTTTCCTTCCTTCCTTCCTCCCTCCTTTCTTTCTTTCTTTCTTTCTTTCTTTCTTTCTTTCTTTCTTTTTCTTTCTTTCTGTCTCTGTCTCTTGTCTCTGTCTCTCTCTCTTTCTCTTTTTCTTTTGTCAGTTGTGGGGCCTGAACTCTGGGCCTAGGTATTGTCCCTTAGCATTTCAAGCAAGGCTAGCACTCTACCACTTGAGCCACAGTACCACTTCCGGCTTTTCCTGCTTATGTGATGCTGAGGAATCTAACCCAGGGCCTCATGCATGCAAGGCAAGCGCTCTACCACCGAGCCACCTTCTTTCTTTTTTTGATTGACTTTCCAGTGGATCTATGACCAGGACTGGTATAATGGCGTCATAGTTCATAGCTAAGTCTATTTTCAGTTCTTTTGAGGAACCTTCATACTGATTTCTGTAGCGTTTGCACTAATTTACATTCCCATGGCAGGGTATAATATTTCCTTTTTCTTGCATCCTTGCTAGTGTTTATTCTTGTTTGTTAACTTGACAAATACCATTTTGACTGGGAAGAGATGAAAATCTCAGTGTAGTTTTGATTTACTTCATGTCTAAGTATGTTGAACATTTCTTCATGTATCTATTAAGCCATTTGTGTTTCCTCTTCTGAGAACTGTCTGCTCAGTTTATTAGCTCATTTATTAATTGAATTACTTGTTCTTTTGCTGCTTAATTTTTTTTTGCCAGTCTTGGGGCTTGAACTCAGGGTCTGGGCACTGCCCCTGAGCTTCTTTTGCTCAAGGTTAGCACTCTACCACTTGAGCTACAGCGCCACTTCTGGCCTTTTCTGTTTATGTGGTACTGAGGAATCGAACCCAAGGCTTCATGTATGCGAGGCAAGCACTCTGCCACTAAGCCACATTCCCAGCCCCACTGCTGCTTAATTTTTTTGAGCTCTTTGTGTATTTTAGATATAAATCTTTTATCCATTTAGGAGCAAAGGTGTCCTCCATTCCATAGGTTGTCTCTTGATTTTGCTAATTATTTTATTTTATTTTTTCTGCACAGAAACTTATAAATTTGATGCAGATCCCTTTTGTCAGTTCTTTTATTTCCTGGGCCATTGTGGTCTGATTGAAAAAATGATTATGTATGCCTATATCTTTCAGAGTCTTTATGTCATTCATTAAGATCTTTGATCCACTTGGCGATGACTTTTATATAGGGTGAGAGATAGGGGGTCAAGTTTCAGTCTTCTGAATACCCAGTTTTGTGGCACCTTTTGCTGAAGACGTTGTCCATTCTTCAGCGTGTGCTTTTGACTCTTTTAATAACGATCTGGTGACTGTAGTCGTGGGGGTTTGTTTCTGAGTCTTCTGTGCTGCTCGGCTGGTTTTTGTGTCTATGTTGACAACTGTGCCAGGCTGTTTTTGTTACCATGACTCTGTAGTGTAATTTGAAGTCCAAAATTGTGATGCCTCTGGCATTGCTCTTTCTGCTCGGGATTACTTTTGCTCGTTGGAGTCTTTTGTGCTTCCGTGTGCATTTTGGGATCGAGGTCTCAATCCCTAAAAGACAAACCCAGGTCTTTGGCAGTGTCCAGCAGTGCCTCACTCAGGGTAGAAAGATGAGTTACACAGGGAGTGGCGTGTGAGAAGCCGGGCTTGTTGGAAGTGAAGTGACCAGGCAAAACCTGAGGTGACTTTGGCTGGGGTGGGTGGGCATTGAGCACTGCCACAGAGGATGGCCCCAGGATGGGAGGGGTA